TTTTGAGAATTATTTAATCTATTAATTAATACATTAATTATACATACCTATTACCCAAAATACACTAGAGATACACACGATGGAAATCGATTTGTCAATAAGAATCAACACCATTATCGATGGTCTGGCTATGCCCCTGCCAAAACAGTTCGAAGTCAAAATCGATAACTATTTCCCATTATCTGCTAATTACTTTAGTAAATTAAGAATACCCTATGTTATGAAGAACCCTTTCATTATTTCCCTATTCATTTATCCAAGCCCAATTCGACATGCCCCCCTTTTGAGCGTAGCGCGCCGAACAGTACATGATCCTCTGGGTTATCGGGAAGCTACTCTCACAGACGCACACATTCATGAGCAGAAGCTGAGGCAGCAGCGAACGACTGCCGTTAGGCTGTTGGTGACATTACAGTATTCACCGCCGAGCAGCCATATAGAGAACATAAACAAATTTCGTGTTGATTCACGACGAATCAAGAACAATAAACGGATTGCGAGAGCTCTTTAAGATAAACATAAAATACATAAAAGCAATTCTATACAGCAGCCACACACGCTCGCACTCACACACATGTGCATATGTGCAGTTGCACGCGTATTCACTTATTCGTTTATTTGCATATGTGCACATTTAGCTCGAATAGATAGCGGTCACGATAACAAGCTGATTCCTATCTAAACTGTAACAGGTGCTCAGCAGCGCGGAGCAGGCGTCGCGTTCTGTTTCCGAGATATATTCCATTGATAAGGGGCCCTCGGGAGAGCGAGCACGGTGAGCGCGCAGTGGGCAAAGCTCGAAGAGAGCTTCAACGTGATAGCAGGAAAGCTTCGACGTCGACGTTGATGTCGGAATAGGCATCGGCTCTGTGTCGCTCGCGCTCGGCTCGCTGTGCTCGCGGCTCGAGTTTCAATTGATTCAATTTACCGTTATAGCAACAATTGATGAAATCGCCGACTACGGCAACGGCAACGGCAACGCCATCGGCTACAGCGACAGCGACGACGTCAACGACTACAATACCAGCAGCAACAGAAGTAGAAACAGAGACAGAGACAGAGACAGAAAGAGCAACAAGTCGACTCAGTGATTCGCCATCGGGTTTACGCTGCAGCCGCACCACATCCGCCGTCTCATCCTGGCTACACGAACTCTCCGTAAGTTTTTCTAATTCGCTCGTGCTCTCTCGCCGTTGTTTGCGTGCCGTTTCAGTTGTTGCTGCGCCGCCAACGCCGGCGATCGTCATTTCAGTGGCTCCAATCGCTCCACTTCCAGTCATTATCACTCTCATCAGCAGCCGCCGACGTCCAGTACTTCGTTATGTGTATGTGTGCGAGTGCGCGCGCCTCTGTTGTTGTTGTTGTCACTGTGACTGTTATTGTTATTGTTATTATTGTTATTGTTGCGTGTGAACGCCTTTTGTCTCGGCGCTGTCATGTATCGTAATAATGCGGATAGTTCTTTCTGTTTCATCAACCGCTTGAACGGCACCACCCACGATGAAACGCAGCAGCCGGGCGAGCATGAGCCGACATCGGCGATCCTCAACTACTGCAAGCGCAAGGTACGTTACGTAGATATAGTGGAACAAAAATATACTTTAAAAAAATTTCATGAACAGTGTGCTCTCAATATAATGAACGCAAGTGCGATAATGAATTGCACAAACAAAATATACAGGTATCCCTCGTATAGCGCGGTCTTATACAACGCGATTTCGATATAGATTTGGAAAAGTTAGGTTTCAGTACAACGCGAAATTTAGGCTTATATAACGCGAAGGGGAAAATACATCATTTTAACGTGCAAAGATCTTTGAAAACAGTGAAACAGATTAATTACCATATGATGCTTGAAGAGTAACAATAAAGTTTTTAATAAACCTTTAATTCGTTTTTTTTTAATGTGCACATAATTATTTAAATTTTGTTTTTTGAATTTTGAAATACATACAAATATATGTACATATGTATTGTTATTCATATTTTGTATTGGGTTGAAATATATGTGTATCTGTTATTTTGTATGTATTTTATTGAAAAAATAAAAAACCTATTGGAACCTAACCCTCGAATTTATATGAAAACTATGTTTTAGATAACGCGGATCTACAAAACGCGCAATTCTCCTGGAACGTAACTATCGCGTTATACGAGGGATGCCTGTAAATGTATATAAATAAAAACAAGTAAGAACGTTGCAGTCGGGCGTTACCGACTGCGGAATACTCATTCACATCCCATCAACAATTTAGTAGTTAAGTTTCGTTCTAATACTGTAGAATATACAGGTTTTTCCGATTTGCCACGCCCCAACTGGGCGTAGACACCTCATTTTTGGTCAGTTTTTAGAAAGAGATAACGTTACCCTAACTGCAAAGTTTGAATGCTTACCCTAAAAAAATGTGAAAATTACAGGGTATTTTTCGATATGCCACGCCCCTAAAGAGGCGTAAAAATTANATTTCAAGTCTCTAGCTTCAATAGCGCCGAAATAGATTGCGTTCATACGGACAGACGGACAGACGGACGGACGGACAGACGGACAGACGGACAGACGGACGGACAGCAAGACGGACATTGCACAAAACCAATATACTGATTCACTTTCGTGAATGAGTATAAAAAATATATGTGTTTGTGTGTGTCTCATCATTAGTGATATTTAATTGCAAAAGTACACAGCGAAAAATCGTAGTGTTTATTCACAGTTACATACGGACATTTTTAAAATTTTATTTGAAAATCCTAATTAGTATTTTATTTACAATCATGCGGAATTCATTTATCTGGACTTAAGTGGGAATTGTGTACACAAAAGCTATGTTATCCGATCATTTATATATGCATATGTATGTAGCTTATTCATACATATGCATATTTCCATACACGTACTAGCATTTGTAATCTTGGTACACTCATTCACGAAACTGAAATGAGTACATTAGTTTTGTCTATCCGTCTGTTCATTAGTCCGCTTGATCTCTTGACATATAGAAAATATATTTGTATGTGTCTCTCCCCCTCTGCCGATATGCTTACAGACAACCGATATAATTGTTGATAAATGATAAAATTGATATTGATTTAGAGTTTTTAAGCCATGCACGTTCATATTTCTTGAGCTTACTATAGAGAGTGCAAACTGTACCTAATTGAAGTCATTGAAACATTGCAGTTTCTGCGCCCATATGTGGCCATCCTGACCGTGGTCGGCCTCAATCCCATTTCCACGGACATGAGTACGGTGGGCGCCTGCAGCAGCTACGTCCAGGCGATGATGGTGTTATTTGTCCTCCTGGTGGGCTACGTGCTGCGCTACCTTTGTGGCTATCGGTGAGTGCTTCGAGAGATCTAAGTCAGTGGTAACAAAAAATCCTTGTAGTGGAGATCGCGGCTTTAGTAGCTACCGAGACATCCGACCCGGTGGCTACGGCAACGGCAACGGTACCGATGTCTGCGGCTCCGCCTCCGCCAGCAGCACACCCAACACAATCGGGGAGCTGCTCTTCGGCTATGTGGTACCCAGTGTCCTCAACCTGCTGAGCTTCGTTTCAGCCGTGCTCGTATGCAAGGTGATCGAGCACGAGCAACTGCAGAATCTCATCGAGCGCGTGTTCCTGCTGTCCGCCAAGCCCAAACGACTGTGCCGCATGCTCTGGCTCTATTTGGGCGTGGCTCTGGCTCTGGTGCTGCTGCTCTTTGGCTATGCCTGTAGCGTGGTGTTCATGCAGCAGGCGCAGATCATCAAGGTGACCTGGCTGGCCGAGGCGCTGCGCGCCTGGGAGCTCTGGCTGCGCATCGGGCTGCTCAGCACCATCTTGCTGCAGGATCTCGTGGAGATCATTGTGCTGAGCAGCTACTACATTGAATGCTATTTGCTGCGCGTGCATCTGGAGACGCTGTCGCACAAGCTGCTGATGCACTCCATCGATCCGTTGGACTGGATGCGCGAGATCCTGGAGTTCCGCAAGCTGCTCGAGCGCGTCAACCAACACGTCTCCATACCCGTTTGCTTCCTCATCGTCATGAATCTGGCCTACGCCTTTGCGGGGCTCGTCTACCTGTTTAAGGACTTCGACTTCCATTACTGTGCCCTGAAGCTGGTGCTCCTGAACATTGCGAATGTCATGTTGTGGCTCTTCCTAGGGCTGCTACCGTTCTTTGTGGCCGGGTCCGTCACGCGCGTCTGCCAAAACGCCCAAGCGAACGGACACCAAATCCGGGTCCGTCCCTTTGTATATCACAATACCTCCGCCGAGGATCTCAACTCGACGTTATTGTTCGCCTCCTCGCTAGACATGTCCGCCAAGCTCTTCCGAATGCCCATCCAGTCCAACTATCTGTGCTTCGCAATACTCGTGGTGACCATCGTAGTCCTCACCCTAGGCATGTGCCTCAATCTGAGCGCCTTGGGCAAATTCTGATACAGTGAAGACTTAGTATATTAATATTTCCAATATATATAACATATATTTATATATGTAATTGAATTTAGCTTTAATTAAGATTTACGCGTAGCATAGATTTAAGCCTAAACTGTCTTGAGCTTATTCAATTACTTTATTTACAAATTACGCTTGGGTTCATCTCGCCTTGATTCTTATGACTTTTGCTATAGGTTTGCTACTACTTAAATTCAGTTTAGTTTTAGTTATTTTTTCTCATTCAATTTCTGTTTCTTTAGTCTGGGCTGCAAACCCAGTTTCACAAAAATATATAGTTGTTAAATACTTCAAAAAAAAACAAAAAATTAACTGCGTAATATGTGCATTTTAAAACTAATGAATAACTGAATATCTTTAATTGACGGCAAATCTTCGTACAAGTTGTAACAATTTTTACAATTAATAGTCAAAAAAAAAAAAGACTGTGTTATGTGACTGTGCGAAAGTTTAAACATTTTCTAAGTGCTCAATATATAAGCAAACAAAAATAATAACAAAATAACAAATTATCTTAAACTTACAAAAAATTATCCTTATCTTAAAAAAACAGTTTAATAAATTAATTAATAAAAATCTGTTTTTTTTTTTTTCTTTCTTTTATCAAATTATAACAAAAGGTCAGAAATTATTATTTAAGGTTTCACAAAAATCACGATTCGCTGATAATCTGTTGTAGTTTATATTTTAAAGTAATTTATATTTTAAAATATCACCAAATATTTTCAAATATCAGAATATGCAATTAATACAATAATTTAAATTAATTACGAATTTGTTATTTTAAAAATCAATTTTGTTTTTGGACTTGAAAAGAATTAAATATTTTGTAGGTAAACTTTTGTACGATACAAATTTTAATTATAGTCAGATAAATTCAACTAAACATTGTTTTATTTCATTCATTCACTAAATAAACTAAGAGTTGTGCTGCAATGCTTGAAATACTGTGGTTATTCCAGAGCAAAGTTCGAAATGGTTTTAAGAATAAATTCTATTGAATTGCAGCCCAGCGAATTAGCTTACGCGTATAATATATATCTTGACTGACTAAGTATGCACTTTGGTTTCAGATTTGCGTTTGTTTTATTTTTGTCTCAATTTCAATTGTAGTTTTCGTAGACGCCCACTTCGCACATTTCGGACTCACCAGCCCAGCCAGGGCGGATGATTGATTTTGGATGGCGGGGTGAAGGTCAGGTTGACAGGTATATTGATCAGCGCATGGAGGCGCTTCAGGCGGAGCAACGTTTTGCGTATGTTCACGCCGTTTTTTCCCAGCAAAAAGCCAGCTGGAATCTTGGTGTCACGGTTCGTCTTATCGTGAATCATCTCAATGTATAGCTCGAATTCTGGCGATTTCGAATTATATTCGGTGATAATGGCACCGATGGCGCCGGCGGCCTCTGCATGCAGTGTTTTGGTAAGGAACGAGCACTCGCTGTCGCAAAGATAACGGCAGATAAGTTAAAAAATAGCACCACAATTTGATAATAAGTGATATGAATTATACTTGCCCCCTATCCATAAGGGCAATGCTGCCATGCATCTCTCTCCCATTGCGAAGCGGTTGGCAAGCCTCGGAAGGATCCGCCAGTACCAGGGGTACACCTTCCAGTTTCTGGCTGAATGAGACACCAAAGTCCTTTGCCGGCCGCAGTCGGTAAGTGTATTCCAGATCTTGCGGCGAAATGATTTCGAAGAACACGTCACCGGCAATGATGTCCTGTGTGGTGACGGGCATGTGGATTGTAGACGTGGCTATGCATCCGCTTAGAATGGCAATCGCTATCAGAACAAATAACATTTTGCAAACATAACTAGCGTAAATTTATTGTTGGTAAAAGCACATAAAAATACATTGCACGGCTGCTAAATATTGCTTGGGATTTTGTGGGCTGCCAACTCATTGTCGCATGCGTAAGTGTGGCAAGGCTGCCGGCTACAGATGTGGCAGCACACTGTGCTGTGAACAGTGGTGCGAGCGCGAACATAAAACAAAATATTAACTTGATTGAGAACGAACTCTAGACTATTTATTTTTAGCAACGACATACCCGAAAGCAGCTCGGAAATGCAGAAACAGCTTGCCGAAGCGTTACCGATGAGATTTTCACTAGATGCGACTTTACTTATCAACGGCACCGACCGATGAAGCTAGTATAATAAATCTCGAAGTATGAGGCACCTGTCCTATAAGCTGAACGATCTGATTCGATTCAGATGTAAACATCCTAAAAACCATAGTAGCATTTTCGAATTTATTCGGTTTAGTTTGCTCCACCATACATTCAAGTTCTATGGGCTTGTGTGTGCAAAATAAATTTTGCAGCTTATAAAGACAATTTTGTACCAATGTATACCGCGTGGAATTGCAGTGTTGCAATTGTATAATCAAAGCATCCCTGTGTGTGCACGTACCTCTGTGACTGCTCAGCGGCGTTTTTCTATACTCGATACCCAAATTACTGGCGATACCATTGTACTAGTTTTGCGTGGTAGCCATTTTAATTTTTGGCGTCGAAAAAACTACGGCGAGCGGTTTTCGCATGTCCTGTAGTTTTGTTTAATTGCATTTAAAGCAAGTCAGTTTTGCTCGTGGAGGCAGTAGTAGCTCAGCTCGTGTGTGATTCTCGGACGATACGAAACGTGTGGTTAAAACAGTTCTGCACCGATTCTCTAATTAACTCAAGTACAGTACAATGTCGATGTCTGCCACGTGCTACAAGTGCAACCGGCCGGGCCACTTCGCCCGGGATTGCAGTCTCGGCGGAGGACCAGGAGGTGGCGGACCAGGTGGTGGCGGTGGCATGCGTGATGGCGGTGGCGGCGGCATGCGTCGTAATCGTGAAAAGTGCTACAAATGCAATCAATTTGGGCACTTTGCACGCGCGTGCCCCGAAGAGGCGGAGCGCTGCTATCGGTGCAACGGCGTAGGCCACATCTCCAAGGACTGCACTCAAGCCGACAATCCGACGTGCTACAGGTGCAACAAGCCCGGACATTGGGTGCGCAACTGCCCCGATGCGGTGAATGAGCGCGGCAATGGGCCAGCAAACGTCTCATGCTATAAGTGCAACCGCACCGGACACATCTCCAAGAACTGCCCGGAGACGTCAAAGACTTGCTACGGCTGCGGCAAGAGTGGACATCTGAGACGCGAATGCGATGAGAAGGGTGGACGGAACTAGAGGAGAGCAGTGTGAGCGGTCTCAGAGAAATCAACGAAAATGTTTTGTCAAATAAAAAAAATGAAAAGAAAAATATTTAATGAAAAAATCAATTGCCAGCCAACAACAACAAAACAGCAAAACGCAAAACAGAAGAAGAAGCGACCAATCAGTAGAACCGAGTCAAGATCAACAGACATAAAATCAACCCCAGACACATACACACACCCACACAGAATCACATCCATACCCACACACACACGCACACATCTAGCCGTCATCTAAGCAGCACATCTCTAATTCCAAAGCTCTGAGCCTGCAGTCGTAAAAGAACAGTACAGTGTATACACAAGCAACAACTAGGAGAAAGCACGATGGACGAAAGAGGAGAAAACAACGATGGCGCTAATGGCGCTGAAAGGCAGCAATAGATGAAGAAGAAACAGACGTCGTTGTATTTTAGTAGCTACTACCACAATATCAACAACAAAAACTATATTATTATTATTATGCTGCAAACGTGTTTGAATTTACTAAATACAATTATAACGAATGGAAAGAAAGCTATATAAGAATATATAATTTACCTTAAAAAAAAAAAAAAAAAGAAAAAAACTCGAAAAATAAATATATATAAAGATACATGTATATGTATATATACTACAAAGTATCCTATTAGGAGTTCCAACACGCAGAAGTTAAATAACAACAAATTGAAGTAGGAGCAACGACAGAGGCGAAAGGGGGAAAAGAGAAGAAAGTAATGTTACCCTACAGCGCTGCGGCTGACGAGCTTTTGCACTTCACCTATCACATCAACAAGCAAGATCTCTAGCGGGTTAGCTATACTTACTAGCTGGCAACACTAACAGAACAATAACAGCAACAACAGAACTTGACAATGGCAGATGGTAGATGACACAAGAAGAAGAAAATAGGCATAAAGCTACACGAGGATGAGGAAGAAGATGAGCTAACAGACGAACCTTTTCACTTGAGCAAGACAAAAAAACAAGGCGAACTACGAAGATAATGATTATGATAAAAATTCAAATATCACTGTGATTGTTTTTTAATTGTAAATTAAAATGCTGGAGCTGCTGATTTGAGACAAACGAAATAATAATAACCCTACAATACAAATGCCTGTTTCATTTGAGTCGAAACTTCTTTATTTTTGCAGATCGCCCGCTGTTTCTTTCGTTCTATCGTTCCCCGGTTCCCGGCTTCCCCCTGCGAACCAGTTTTGATACCAGTTCTGGTTCTCTAAGCCGGCAAATGCAGCAGCGAAGCAAGAGCAGCTGCCCCCTGATTTTTGAGCGAACACATGGCACGGCAGCTGATAGTCCGACCGGCCCGGCCGCCTTGTCTTTCTCTCTTTCTTGCTTACTCTCAGTCTCTTTGTAACTGAGTCAGCTTGGTGGAGGTGCCGCCACATAAAGCAAAAATTTTGCCATTGTTTCTAGTGTATTGCCATGTACATGTGCGTGCGCGTGTTTGTTTGCTTTGCTTCCCTATGCACTGAGACCTACAAGTATGTACATATGTATGTATGTATTTATATCGTCACATACACACTTACACGTGGGCATAAACCATACGTACGTAAGTACGTATGTATACATATGTATGCATGTATATATTTGGGCATATGTATATATTTACACATACACATACATATGTATGTATGTGCTGCTTCTTTAAACAAAGTACAGTCGTCGCACTGCGCTGCTAATGGTGAAAACTTGCAAACGACACACACACTCGCATGTATAAGTATGTATGCATGTATGGTGGCGGTGAGCTCGCTTATGGCGAAGGGCTGTTGGGGTGAGGGCATAACTTCAACTTGACTGCGTGGTCTTCGCTGCTGCACTTGGCAACAAGTTACACCCGGCTGGCTGCATGCGCACCGCGTTCAATCGTTTTCTCTGCGCTCTCTCGCTGCTGATTGAGGGTCAAGGTCAGCGAGCATTCGCATCAGCTGCTGCGCATGTGCAGCTCTTACGACGAGCTTCATATGAAATTTAACAAAGCTGCTGATGGGCGCTCTCCGAACTGCAGACTGGATTTATATGCACTGTACTTGTGCACGATTCGTATGAGTGTGTTTGTGTGTCTGCGTACGATTGTATGTTCCCATTGCAGTGGTAAAGCTACGATTGGAAGAGACTGGAACCGAAACTGGAATCCAATCACAAAATGAGTGCACAAATACAGATTAATGAATGTATGTATGTATGTATGTATGTGTGTTTGGTATATTTTAGTATATGTATGTGATTTATTTCAATTTTATGAATGCTAGTATTAACAGGCTTTTAATCAAATCGACCTTTTTTGACATTTCTAAAATTATTATTAATTATTTAGCAATTTTTCATATAATACTTTAAGGGGCAAGTCTTAGCCGTCGTACAATCCTTAAAAGGTCGGACGTGTATGTATATTGAAGAGATGGCAGATACCGTAACGGTAAAATTTACATTCCTTCTCATGTACATACATATGTATGTATATACAGTGGCTCACAGCTTATTTCGTGCAGCGGCGTAGTACAATTTTAAAGCCATATTCCCGCTAAACCAGTAAAGGTATCCAAAATGGGGTCTTATTTATCAGTCATTTATTATGTATTAACGCACTTCATTATTTTTCTCTTGTTACAAACAACATTTAAACTAAAGAAAACTAAAATAACTGCTCTTTTCCATGTCACAGCTTATTTCGTGCACTTCACTTGCAATGACTTTATTGCCCAACAATTTCTAAATTAGGGGTTTTTTTTACCAGAAGGCCGTTTTAAGCTCATTTTGATTGAATGTTGACCTTTTCCGAATGGCCACACCCAATTTCGCCCACAAATTTTCTATAACGTTTAGATAGGACCATTGGGCTATAAAAATTGACCACATATGGACAGTTCCAGATCAACCAGGACTGGAAAATACCCGATTCATGTTTTTGGTCATTATCGTGATAAAATCGGGATCGCCCTTCTAGACCAAGTACTTCGGAACTATGGACTGAATTCTCATTTGAAAAGGGTAGGTATATATACTTGTTCAAATTACCATCTATGAAAACTAAGTTTCCAACTCCCATGCATACCCAACCATGACACTGCCACCGCCATAGCATAGTTGGTTTTAGGTGCTGATCATGGAGCTCGGTATTTGGTGGGTGCCAAACATATTGCATCCAATCCGACGTAAATATATTAAATTTCAACTCATCTACATATATGTGGAACAGGTAATGAATAGGTACTGTCAAGTGCACAGGGCAAGTAACGGAGCGAGTGCTTATGCGGATAATTAAATATATGTACATACATATTATATCAAATGAAAGGTATTAATGCGTAAATCAAATATATACAAAAATATATGATCTAGCTCCTTTATTTCAAGAGATGTTTCTATTCAATTTTTACAATAAAAGTTACGCCATAACTCTTGTTTTTAATTTTTATTATAAAAATTGATCTGTAATAACTATTTTTGATTTGTATCATATAATTTATTTATTATAATTAAAAAAATTTTTTTTTTTAAGTTACTCAAAAATAATTCTTATTTTTTAATTTTTTTGCTGTATATAATCGCTATGGTCCCTGGTTTTAAATGTTATTTGTTTATACATAATGAATGGCTGATAAATAAGACCCCATTTAAATTGGATATCTTTATTGGTTTAGCGGGAATACGGCTTTAAAATTGTACTACTCCGCTGCACGAAATAAGCTGTGAGTAATATCACTAATCAGAGTGTGTTCTCTGGTTAGTGGTAATATACATTTTCGATAATTTGTACTCCACAAACTCGAAAGTTGCGATAAATCGATATATTCTATCCTCTTGAATAAAATTCGTGAATTTGTAAAAATTCCATAAATTTTGGTCCTTTCGTTAATTCGTAGCTAAGAGCTATGCAGCTTTAATGTCGCTGTCCATGTAGAATCTTGCGTTTCTCACACCGTATTCGTTTGGTTTGTCGAGCTTTATTCTAAGAACGTTGCAATCGGGCGATACCGATAGCAGAAGACTCATTCACAGCCCAAACGCTGTCAACCAG